AATTCGTAGACAATCACCACACTTCATTTAATATGTCATTTTTACTCAGTATTTCGTTCGGTGGTACAATAGTCGTTGACGCTCATGGTCTTCCTACCATTGTGGATTTATGTCACAGAATGGTTTTTACGGTATGTATCCCTTCAACTATTCCTATGTCAACTAGTCAGCTCTCGTCTCTTGATCTCTCTCGACGGTTTCCCCAAACCCCCACCTTATATCTACCCCTCGTGTGACTATAACCTCTACTAGATAACCATCCCCCGGCCAATGAATTGCTACATCATTAAAGAAAACATTCCCCGACTGGATCCTTTTAACCCTGGACGTCCATTCCATGTCCCTACCCAGCTATTAGCATCTATCACGTTGAGACATTTTCCATAACTGATAATTAATCTAACTCTACCCATTGTCTTCGATAACATTCCACTTCCACCTGCAAACTTAAACTTGTTAATCGAAAACATTTGTGATACCCGCTCCCACACTGGAGTCCCCCTTTTCTCCAAACTACCATGTTTTCCCTGTACTACTATAAACTCTGGGGATGTCAGGCTATCAATTGCCTCATCTGTTGTCCACTGTTGTACTTTTGTGCAGTAGCTACGCCCATCGTCCCCAACATAGTCATTTGTGAATTTTTACATTTCTTTTAACGTAGAAACTTGTTGTCTGCTAGAGTATTTCCGGTAAGGTCGTGGGTCCCGTCTATCTAAGTAGTATATGTAACTACAGTACAGATGCTATATCAGAGTTTTACCCTGTTCCTGTAATTGTAGAGTAAAACTGTTACAGTTACAGGAACAGTATGAGTGGTAACCTTACATATTATAATTAGGCATTGGCCTAATATAAAATAATCTGAGAAGTGTCTATCTAATTCAAAATATTCATGAGCAGTAAATAAGTAATAAGTAATTAGGTTATTAGTATAAAAATTATTGTCAAAAATCAGAAAAGAAATGAAAACTGAAAATAAGTCACTAACTAAATTTTTAGAATTGTCTGTGTGTGAACTGAGACTACCGTGAACCAGAGTAAGACAGTACTCACTCATATATGATTGTCTTACCAAGATTACGGCAAGATACTGAACACACTACACTGTGAATGTTGTGGTCCTGAGTTAAATCTGAGATTGAGATAGCGGGAAAATTCTGACTGGAGTAGATACACAAAACCAAGATAAGATACCAATTACATTTGTTAAATGCACGAAGATAGTTTAAAAACATGTCAAATTCATGCCACCATGTATGCATGATAATTGTATAATATATTAGTTGTGATGTCATAATCATAATGCAAAAGTTGGACAATATAATTATAGTATTTACTTTACTAACCATCTCAATAATAGTGTGTAATCCGCCATGTTGAATTTCAAATCCATGACGTCACTTTTCGCTTACAATAAGAAAAAAAATTCACGATAGCAAGAGATGCGAATCAATAACCACCTGCTACGAAAATAATTGTTTGCCCCTAAATAGCTTGAAATGAAATTTTAATTGACAGAAACAATTTATTTTATAAATTAGGCATTTAAAAAAAACATAAACACTAAAATATACTCAGATCACATCATACTATTACTATTATGTATATTTTCTTAACAATTTTTTTCAATGTCACAAAACTCACCAGGCGCAACTCGGTGGTTACGCCAGTCTTGGTGACACCTCGCATTTAATTATAAAAATGTATGTATGAGCTTATTAAAACCAAATATATTTACTTAGAATTTAAACACTTTTTATAAAAGGTGGGAGTCAACGGATATTTAGACTAGTTCTTACCAGCTACAAATTTTGTTAGCGCAGTTCAATAAATTGATTTTGTGCGATAACTTATAAAAGGGACGCTACTGTAAGTTATTTAAATTCCAACTTTAAAAAAGCTGTCTCTCTTTTACTTCCAATAATTAAACACATCAGCTATTAAATTTTAGTTACTTAGTCGGGAAAGGAAAGGGGTGATTTGTAGAGGTTTACAGGGACGTCAATTGGGTAAGGCTGAGTGGGGAATTTCCCCGCCCCCCGATTTGTAGGTTTTATTTAAATTGCTATGTACTGTGGCGCCTCCAGTAACAAACAACAAGCCGGCCAAGTTTTTGTTTTGGCCCCTTACCAGCCTGATTAAACCTGAAATGACGCCCCTGGAGTAGAGATACTAAATATAGCAAGACAAGCCCTCAGTGGTGGACCACGACATAATGAATAATCCCTGTGGGCTGGGGACATATGAGCCGCCCTGTTCCACTTGTTTCCGTGAGATGTGGGTCGCCCAGACCGCCTATGTCGATGACATTTAAGCCTCATCAGGTAGTCATATTTAGCCGCCTCTGTGCCACTTGACAGGGAAATGCAGTTAGTCTGGGGGCCACTTCTGAATTACAATAATACTCGCGTATATAATAACTACCTACAGTGTGTGATTAATTATAAATATATTTGTCACAAAGAAGTAAATGAATGACTAATCAGACGTAGAAACTGACGTTTTAAGTCAGGGATCAGACAACCATTTTTTTAAAAGATAAATGCCATTTTATAAAGTAAATGTGATAGTAAAGAGTCGCAGTTCGCGTGCATCTAATCTATACGAAAAGGTCGTCAAGTTTTTTCATTGTTCCCATTTAAATAAACGGATCATCAAATATATCGAGCCTAGTGATAATTCATAGATTCCACTAATTGTAATCGATTAAAGGCACCAGTTACTGTGCAATTGTCATTTTTAATATAAAAAATAAATATTGTTGTACACATAGTGCTCCGGGAAAGACACAAGGGACGCTACGGTTACCGGAAATTTGATCGAAAGAAATTTCGTCGACGGTAAATTGATCGACGGAAATTGGATCGAACGAAATCTTAAATTTCTACTGGATTCTCATCCAAAATAAAATAAAGAAATATATGAAAAATGATGGCAACGCCAATGTATGGGTCACTTTGTTTCTTATTCTGAAATTAAAAAGAGAAAAGCAGTTTGGAAGTAAACGATAATAAATAGGCCTCGGCAAAGCATTTAAAAAACATTCACGAAAAAACAAAACAAATCTGTTATTCAGGAAAATTTGTAACAAATGTGGAACATTTAGAGAAAACAAAAACACTTGTGATTTAATAATAATTTATGAAACATGCACTATTTCTTTGCGCCCTTTAAATTCTAAGTGAGAAAAGAAAGCATGAGACTTATTTTTTTTTTAGCAATGCCTTTACGATGAACTATAATTTAAAAACAGATTGCACATGTTGTATACTTGACTAAAAAACTTGTGAAGTAGCAAAAAATAAATAAATAAAATAGCGATAGGCCTATATTGGAACAATAGGCTCAATAGGAAGTAAGACTGGAGCGGTCAGTGCGATTTTTATAACCGAATAACTTGATTAGCCTTAAATTTATTGTAGGGTTTAACAAAATAATTAAATAAACATTATTAAAAGATAAGATTAGGTTTTAAATCTTGAATGAATGATTTAAGAACTGAATATTCTTGTTGGTTGATCAGTTTTCGCAAAAATAAAATACCGCATTTCAAATATAATGTGAAAGAAACAACAACGCATATTTTAAAATTATTTATATTGACTTTGCTTTTGTACGTGGCTGGCTGGCAAAATCTTCGGACGGCTATTTTACACACTTCCCGTCAACCTATGGAGCTGAAACTTGGCACATAGACTCGTCTTACTCGTGGCTGATGACAACATATTTTTTCAAATGTTCAGCCCCACCCCCTAACCTTAACTCTAACCATAACCCCCAAAAAGTACGTTTTTCCTGTTTTAAACAGGTGTTTTTCAAGGGGAATATGAAAGAAAATTCCAGAAAACTGCGCTAAATGAGATTAGGCCTACTTTTAAAAAAATATCGCAAGTGCGTTTAGTGCCTAATATTTTGTTTTTATGAGATAGTTAGTTGGTGAAACGAATCTGCGTTATAACAAGCTGGTGGGTAAGTAGAATGTTAATATAGTTCAGGGGCGCGAAACAAATTTGCGGTTGTGAGCCTTGGAAAGGGGGGGGGGGGGCACTAATTGGGATTTTTATAAAGTGCGTAGCGAGGAGGTTTCTTTTGATCTCTGAATTTTCCGTTTATTTATATTATATTTTTTTAGGGGCGCGAAAAAAATTTGCGGTTGTGAGCCTTGTAAAGGGGGGGGGGGGGCACTAATTGGGATTCTTATAAAGTGCGTAGCGAGGAGTTTTCTTTTGATCTCTGAATTTTCCGTTTATTTATACTAGATTTTTTTTTAAAACTTTGATTGCGCGGTTGTATGCCTTGTAAAAATGAGGGAGCCTTTCCCTCGGGCCCCGGGTATTGTGTCGTGTTGTTCATTGGTGTCAGACGTGTCAGTTTGATCCCTATATTGTAATGGGTTTGTCTGAGTTAGTGAAGTGCGTACCGGTATTCCGTGTTGTTTTTGTATTGCTAACCTATATACCTTAATCCTCATTTTATTTTTGTCTTTATTAGCATTGAGTGCTTTATGCTCCGTTTTTAATAAAAATATAAGTCCTCATATTATAACGTGTCTGGAGATTGTTAAACACGTTTCACACATAGAATAACTTTGGTATTATCAAAGTATTTACAGGTGAGTTACTGTTACGTCACGTCCAACTATTGTCCTTGTTGAGCACTAGAATTGTTCGATATTTTCGATTTTCCCCTATTTTCCCGTTTCTTGTTTGTATCTACTTGTACCAGAATTAAGCTTTCCCCATCCCTTGATTACCCAGGAAATTATGGGATTAATAAAATTAATTTAGTTAAAACATATTTAAAAAATAATTAAACTATAAAATAATTGATTTTTTTTATAGTTGTTTAATTGTTCTAGTGTAAAAAAAAAAAAAAAAAAAAAAAAAAAAAAAAATAAAATTAATTTATTTAAAAAATATTTAAAAAATAATTAAACAATAAAATAATTAATTTTTTTTATAGTTGTTTAATTTTTTTAGTGAAAAAAAAAAAAAAAAAAGGTGAAGGTTAGTTCACAGTTTAGTTACTAGCTACTAGTTGCTTCATTTTCACCTGCTTTTCCCTGATAATGGATAACTAACTAATAATATGCTTATTAAAAAAAGTTGGATACAACCGCTTAGAGAAAAAAAGCTCAACACTTAATGAGTTTGCATACTTTACCAAATTTACAAGTCTCGTATCTATCTAGTTTCAAATTCATCACATAATATCTACAAGCACACGTTTCTTATAACTGGTAACATGGAATTTGTTTCACATAAAATGGAAATTAGAAATGTTAATACATGCATTTATATATGTATATGTCTCAATATGTAAAATTTTGACAAAATAAAACAAAAAAAAAAAAGAAATATTATAAAGGTAGTTTAATATATGTGCATTTTAGAATGATCAAGTTACAAAGGCATTGGTCTCCACAATGTCGTTATCCGCCAGTATCCTTTGATTAGAATTTAAGCCCCCCCCCCCCCCCCCTGTACCACTCATCTCTAAAAGAAGTATTTTAAAAATTAGCTAAATAATTAAATGAAGGAGATAAATTAAATAACATTAATAGGCATTTATTTTCTATTTTTAAAGTTATTTCATTTTCTTTTTTACAAATAATAATAATAAAAGTTTTACCCATATTAACTTTTCATGAAATTACAATAATTATTAGTTAAATTTAAAATAACAGCTATTCATCTTCTAATGTGGCTTTTAATTTAATTTGAAATTTGAGCTGGTTTCATGCGTTCTGGTTTAAATTAAAATCAGACTTTAATAAAAAAAATAGATATGAATAAACTTAAGCTTATTGCAATATTTATTTTCAATGTAGGTATAAGATGAGTTTACTCATTTGACAGCTGGTAAATAGTAAAACAAAATGGTACAATAAAAAGAATCTCAAAAAGGAAACATTGCAATTATAATATTTGAACACGTCGCAGGAAAAATTAAATAAAAACTATAAGATCAGACTTTAATACAATACAGTTTTCGTTTCATTAATTTTACTCGAACAATATTTTTGTGGATAAAATTAGTTCTTAATGTACCATTAAATATTGAAATATTGCTTTTCATAAAGCAATGGAGGTAAAAAAATGGTAGTAATGCACCGGTTTCAAGTTTATGGGAGGCAACCTCAAATGGGGATGCAAAGGGATTAATGTGGGGTCACTGGCTAAAACAATAATCCACGAGAAGTAGTGATTTATAAATAGTTTTCTTTCATAATTGTTGCATTAAATGAGCATTATAGATAAGTTATAAAGATTTTTATTTAACACAAAAAGTTTTGTAAGCTTTACTTCTAATAATGTGATGCCATAAGTCAGTGGTCCCCAAATGGCGGTCCGTGGACCTTCACTGGTCCTCATGCCTTACACTGTCAGTCCCCATAACATAAATATTTTTGTCAAATAGAAATAAAAGTATAAAAATAAATCATGCACTGGTCCCTGGTAAAATTTCGAAACTTGTTCACTGGTCCGCTAAACTTAAAAGTTTGGGAACCACTGCCATAAGTGAAAGAAACCACAAGTTGTTAAAATACAATATCAATATTAATGTGCTATTATTGATTGTACTGAGTGAAAATGAGCAAGTGAAATATTTTTTCCATCTTTTCATTCCAAGATCAAGCAAAAATTTCTTTTGATTTTGGATTCATATAGTCTGCTGGACCAGGAGTAACAATGGTTTCTGTATATGGAGGAGGAGATTCTGAAGGTCTCTCTGAAACTAAAATATTCAGTAATGTATATTATTTGAAACAATAAACAAGGATTTATTTATTTTTATGGTTTGTTAATTAATATTTTACATCTTGTTGTTATTAAAGGATAAAAATATTGCTTTACATTTAAGGAAAATGTAAACAAATGTGTGGGTGTGAGCCTTTAAGGGAAATGTAAACAAAACATACCATTTTAATAACAAAAATTTACACAAATATATATGTGAAAAATAATTTTAGTGCCCTTCATCTTATCTATGGATAAGACAAAAGATTTAGAATCAGGGAATATTTTAAATGGAATAGATTTATTGTCATACTTAAGCAATACATAAGACTCTGAAATTTAAGGTCTTAACATGTCAAAGGTAAATAATTTTTAAAAATCATTTATACGCAATAATAATAGTAAACTGTAAATCAGCTCAAGATTACCTTTCTCTATGTTTACAGCAACTTGTTGTTGATACATTGGTGGGGGAGTGTTCATTATGCCCATATTCATGGGACTGGGAGCATACATTGTGTTCTGTTGATACATTGGTGGGGCTGTGCTCATTGGGGCACATTTCATCATATTGGGAGCAGTCATTGTATTCATAGCTCCACTCATTTGGATGGATATGTTTATCGTGTATGCTGCACATAAATCAAAGCCACCAAATGGTGCTGAAAGAAATTCACAAGTACCACAAAGTTAAACACTTTCTTTTATTAAAAAAAAAACCCACTGCTGTAAAACTCTACTCAACTCTATTTTATCCACCTCTGGCAGAATGATATTCATCCATTAATTAATTCACTTTTCATTCTTTTGCTTTCTAAATTCATTCACGTATGACTCATGGGGCTAGAAAAGTGGTTCCTAACTTTTTTTTCTCCCAAAATCCTTGATGATACTTTTCATTACCCCATTACCTACCCCCACTCAATCCTAAAAATTGCATTAAAAAAAGATAAGCTAAATAATTAAATAAAGCAGATATGGCTAATGACATTTCTCGTCTTTAATTTTCTCTTTTACGCTTTTTTTGTTACAACTAAAAAATAATATTTTAAAAAATGTTACCATTAACTTTTAATAAAATAACAATAATTACTCATTTTCTTTTAAAAAAAACAACAGCTATTTATCTTCTTTCCAAGTGGTCCAATGTGGCTCATAATAATTTTAATTTTTCCTTGAGCTTATTTCATGGCCTCTAGTTTTCTTAAAAAGGGGTTCAAATCAGAGGCTGCAGCAAGCTAATTGCAATATTAATTCCTTTTCGACATGAAGATGAAAAAGTTCTTTCGACAAGCTTAAAAAAAATGGCTTCCGGTAATTTTGTAGAAAAAAACATAAAAAATAAACATTGCAATTTAATATTTGTCCATAAAACCGGTGAGGGGGGAGGAGGAGGGGATTAATAAAAACTATCAACGTGGCTTGTTATGATACAAAAATACAGTGTTCTTATTATTAATTTTTATTAAAGCAATATATTTTTGGATAAAATTAGTTGTCAAATACACAATTAAATGTTAAAATATAGCCTCTTGTAACTGAAAATCATTGAAAAAAAAATCAATTTTTTACATTTGATATCATCAACAATATAGTTTTTGCTTATCCCGAAGCGGTCCACCGCATATTCCTAAGCGGTCCACCATATATCCCCAAATGGCCCACCGCATACCCGCATACACATTTTGGAAAACCACTAACCTAGATATAGAGTGTTTGTATTTTTACATAATGTAATAAATTAAGAATAAAACATTGTAAACATTATTTTTCTTCTGTTACTTTTGTTTATTTTGTTTGGATGTTTTTTTTCAATAAGGTTGAGGCAGCTTTTTATCCCATGAAATGCTGACAAAAGTCTTCCATATCTGAGAGATGAGGATTTTATGATGACTATAATAATAGATTAAAGCTGGATGAATAATTTCTTTTAGTGAGGCAATAAGACAACAAGAGGTCTGTCTTTTGTGAAAATGAAATAACATCAAAAATTACACAACTAAGCATGAATTACACATCAAATCTTTCTTTACCAAATTAGTAATCTTATCTTATACAAAAAACCATCTTTGTAGCACAATTATTTTAACTTATTTCTTGCTTATTCTCTTACTTGCTGACCCCTTGTAGTAGACCTGCATCTGCTCTTTGGGTGCACATGAGCTGACCATCACATGCAAGGGCCGGGACTTGTTCTTGGGAATGTTGGTCAGAATGTTTCCAAAAAACTCAGCAGCTCTCGAATAGACAGCAACATCAGCACCAAAACCAATGTTTCCACCATCCATGTCCACATACATATAAAATCTATAGAAGCATAATGAAATTAAAAATATTTCTTTTCTGACTAATGATTTTCTTGACATCTTAAAAATGTTATATCAATTAAAAAAAATTCTATGTATTGAATGTTCCTTCTAGTACACAATTACTTAGAAAAAGTAAATGACCTATCTGTAATAACATTTAAAAAAATATAGTAACTTGTTTAGGTCCAAAGGACACAATATAAACAATTTTTTTACAAACATTTAAATAACATTAAATGAATGTTTCTATTACTAAGTAAGCAATTAAAAAAGGGTTTAAAAGAAGTGAAATGAATTTAGTCAATGCCAAATGATATTATTAAAAACTTTCACCTTTCAGGGATCGCTGCATCAAGTCTTTTCTCCATTTTGTCTCGATTTAAGGTGCGCCTCTTGGTGAGGTCCAAACCCCAGGTCTGGCTGTGTTGACCTACTAGGCTGACTCGATCTTTCTGTTTCAAAAGAACATCTGTAGAACCCACTCCAATACATGAACAATGACCTCTGTTATTAGCTTCTGGCCAGTACACCTGGAAATAAGTGTTTTTTTTTTCAAACATTATTTTAACATATAGGGTTTAACAATATATACAATATATATAATATTATATATTAAAATAATTTATTTTAGCCATCAAATAATATTTTATACAATACATTTATATAATAATAATATAATTAATTGTTCTCTATGTTGTAAAAACAAAATTGAATTTATTAATATTTGTCAAAATCATTAGAAAAATTTGTATTACAAATTCACAATTTGCTTGAAATTTATTTCATATTCTTATGTTATATGCCTACTTAACTAGGTACTCAATCTGTTTTTCTTATTACTTTTACATTGACAGTAATCAGTAGGCCTACCACAAAAGTAGTCCATACACTGTCTCTAGTAAATACAAAAACCTTTATTCCTTATTTACTTAATTAAAACTACTTTTAAAAAAGCAAAACTCATGATGAATTTATATAAAAGAGAATACCATAAACAGAGACGAGAAAGAGGACTAAATGCTTGGTAAATATTTTAGGGCTGGACACCCGGCCCAGCAGTAACATGTCTTTTGAATGCTATAACTAAAAACTAACTACTTTAGTACTTTTACACAAAACTATTACTTTTAAGATCTCTTTTCAGATTCTACCCAGCCCCACCTACCCCCAAACCCAGCCACAAAACAAATAATTTATAAATGACCAACATATACATTTTTATATGTTATCAATATTTTTGAATAAAATAACTCCTTCACATTTCAGTTTTTGGTACTTAAGTTTAATTAATTAATTCACACAAAAAATTAACAATACTGCTATTCTATGTCTATGCAGTTATAAGCGGTTCAATTTAATACAACTGCTTCTGTAGACACCATGGATTCTTTGACAATTTCTGCATTTGTTCACACTGACGTCAGTTGTAACTTTTTTCTACAACACAATTAATATTATAATAATACATGCTGTCAGACGATGTGCTCACAACCACAAAGTTAACAGCATGCCAAAACTCAACGCATCGAAAATATATGAAAATTGGCAAAAGAGAGAAACAATGGCACACACAGACATATGCTCAATTCTTATACTTATATGTGTGGGTTCATTTTGCTTCGACGTGTTAATGCAAATGGCAATGGTTTGAATGTAGGCTATTCAACGCCATTCAAGACGATATTGTTCAAATTTGGCCACTACATTAGCGGATGACTTGAATAATAATAAATTTTTGCGGTGAATTAAAAGTGAAGTACCCATTTTTTTAAATGTCAACATCAGCATACAAATTCAAATAGTAATCATGAGATCATTGTAGCTTCACCTCAAAGACATGCTTTCCTTCTGTCATTCCGGATGACCAGCGGGCAGCATCAGTCACGGTGATTCCTGATCTCTCTCTGATCAGATGGTTGTTGGATATTTTGGCGAATCCATCAGAGAGGTCACTGAACCCCTGGTTCAGCTCTGGTATTACTACGAGACTCTGTGTCCAATCTGGGGGACCTGAAATCAAGCAATTGATAACATAATCTGATCTATGAATACATTGCATAAAATCAATCCAGTAAACCAAATTTTTGAATAAATTGAATTTAGATTTTTAGCAATGAAAGCAATGCTTACCGGTAAAAATAATTACTGGTATGAATGGGCAATCGTTCATTTATTAAAATAAATATATTTTAACGGGTAACAAACTGCATTAGTGCCAAGAAAAAGGGAGAAAGATAGTGATAATTTGTTATTTTGGACCTTAATATAATGGACACAACTTGTTTTGGAATTTCAAGGGAGACGACTGCACTTGAATTACTATTACACTAACTTAGTTATGTAACCTACCGCATTTAGTAACACTGGGGTTGACACGTTTCATCGTAACCGTCCAAGTTTACCCGAACTGTCGAGTTGTCACCAGAAATCTTTGACACAGACCCTAATTCCAAGAAGCCTCCGCCGGAAACTGTTTATTGAAATATGCTCATTTTAACCATTTTGAGATCTAGAAATATTTTTTAAAATTACCTTCACTTTTGTCACTTAATTTAAAACCTGAGGCATATCATAAACGAAAAAAGTAATTTTGCAGTGAGTACTTACTTATTTATACATATTTTACAGCAAATTACAGCACAACAAATTAAATTTCTCTAGTCTAGGATTTAAATTGAGGATATTCGGTTGTTGTCCCAGCCATTGTTAAAACCTCCTTCTTATCTTATATGTGAAAATGTGTTTGGCTTTAGAAACGGGACATTTAGGCGTCCCGAGAGACTTTTTCGGGACACCGGGTACGATCGTGAAAAAACTGGACGCTTGGTCACCCTTATACAGTCGGCCCGATGTGATGTAAGGGCAGTGTCACTGTGCACAGACTACGATCCATGCTAATTCAATAGTTGAGGACAGAGTATATAACTCTTAACATCCACATAAATACAATTTTTATTATTATGCCGATAAGGAAATGCTGGTACACGCAAAGAGTTGACGTCTGCTGTTGCTTGTATGTTTTAAAATGAGAAGGTATTTACGGCTTTATTATAAATTATTCGTCTGCATTTCCATTATCCTTTTAACACGCTAAGTTAGTAAAATTGATATTGTTTTAATCAAATTTCTTCGTGCGTAACGTATCCATACTAACTGGTTTCTTTAATGTAAAAAAAAAAGTGGAGGGGGGGTGGTAGACACATCAAGGGTAATCAAGGCTTATCAACAATTTTTAGTAATAGTCTTATAGCCAAGTACAGCCACCAGATCTCCATAAAGCTTCCGACATACAGTGTCTATACATAGGGATAACCCCCCCCCCCATAAAATTGCTAATAATAATAATAGATTATAAGGCCAGCCCTACGCTTAGTCTTTAGTTTTAATGTGTCGTTTTGAAACACATCAATAATTTACCAATGTCACTATTGGACAACGAACATTGGACATTGAACATTGGACATTGAACATTGGACATTGGACATTGGACATTCTCTCGGTAACACCAAGTCTTTAGTGCAAAAATCGCTGTACAGAAAAATTGAGAGGGGCCAGGGGGAATCTAAGTTATGATAGGATTAAATGTTAACAAATCGGAAAGTTAATCAGTAAATACAGAGAAGGAAATGGAGGTCCTCTTCAGACAAGAAGGCATTAGAGGTCCTCTTCAGACAAGAAGGCATTGGAGGTCCTCTTCAGACAAGAAGGCATTAGAGGTCCTCTTCAGACAAGAAGGCAATGGAGGTCCTCTTCAGACAAGAAGGCATTAGAGGTCCTCTTCAGACAAGAAGGCATTGGAGGTCCTCTTCAGACAAGAAGGCATTGGAGGTCCTCTTCAGACAAGAAGGCATTGGAGGTCCTCTTCAGACAAGAAGGCATTGGAGGCCCTCTTCAGACAAGAAGGCAATGGAGGTCCTCTTCAGACAAGAAGGCAATGGAGGTCCTCTTCAGACAAGAAGGCAATGGAGGTCCTCTTCAGACAAGAAGGCAATGGAGGTCCTCTTCAGACAAGAAGGAAATGGAGGTCCTCTTCAGACAAGAAGGCATTGGAGGTCCTCTTCAGACAAGAAGGCATTGGAGGTCCTCTTCAGACAAGAAGGAAATGGAGGTCCTCTTCAGACAAGAAGGCATTGGAGGTCCTCTTCAGACAAGAAGGCAATGGAGGTCCTCTTCAGACAAGAAGGCATTGGAGGTCCTCTTCAGACAAGAAGGCATTGGAGGTCCTCTTCAGACAAGAAGGCATTGGAGGTCCTCTTCAGACAAGAAGGCATTGGAGGCAATGTTCCCTATAAGGTATCCTGGCTCGTCTGCATAATCATATAGTTGTATGCAAAGTTTTACTGCATCGGTTTTTTTTGTGTGCAAAATTTTACTACCCATATACACAAACACACACTTACAGGGAAATTTGCTGCGCGGATACTCAAAACTGCTGCACGGCTTCTGTGAGATAGCTGCGCGGCCGCACAGCTCAAAAAGAACATTGATTGGAGGTCCTTTATAATACAGACAGGAAGGCATTGGAGGTCCTTTATAATACAGACAGGAAGGCATTGGAGGTCCTTTATAATACAGACAGGAAGGCATTGGAGGTCCTTTATAATACAGACAGGACGGCATTGTAAGTCTATAATACAGAGAGGAAGGCATTGGGGGTCCTCTACAGATAGGAAAGCATTGGATGTCCTCTACAGATAGGAAAGCATTGGATGTCTCTACAGATAGGAAGGCATTGGAGGTCCTCTACAGATAGGAAGGTATTGGATGTCCTCTACAGATAGGAAGGCATTGGATGTCCTCTACAGACAGGAAGGCATTAGAGGTCCTCTACAGACAGGAAGGCATTGGGGGTCCTCTACAGACAGGAAGGCATTAGAGGTCCTCTACAGACAGGAAGTCATTGGATGTCCTCTACAGACAGGAAGGCAATGGAGGTCCTCTGCAGATAGGAAGGCATTGGATGTCCTCTACAGACAGGAAGGCATTGGATGTCCTCTACAGATAGGAAGACATTGGATATCCTCTACAGATAGGAAGGCATTGGGTGTCCTCTATAGACAGGAAAGCATGGGATGTCCTCTCAAGACAGAAAGGCATTAGAGGTTCTCTACAGACAGCTGGCTCAGTCGTAGTTATTCACAAAAATAAAAGAGAGAGATGGGACAGACAACGGATCACCTGGATGTAGAACTTTGAGCGAGATTGTTGGGAGAAAATATAAGTAAACTTGGAGTGAGACTGGAAATTTAGAATGAAAGATAAGATGTGTATGAGGTTGGAAATTTAGACTGTAAGATAAGATGTGAATGAGGTTGGAAATTTAGACTGAAAGATAAGATGTGAATGAGGTTGGAAATTGAGACTGAGAGATCTAATGTGAATGAGGCTGGAAATATAGGCTGAGAGATAAGATGGGAATGAGTCTGAAAATGTAGGCTGAGATATAAAATGAGAATGAGTCTGGAAAATTGGTTGAGATATAACATGGGTGTATAGGCTGGAAAAGAGGCTGAATAATAGCATTGAAATGAGGCTGGAAATACAGGCTGGAAATATAGGCTAATGGAAATATAGGCTGGAAATATAGGCTGGAAATATAGGCTGGAAATATAGGCTGGAAATATTGGCTGGAAATATAGGCTGGGAGATAAAATGGGAATAATTAGATGGTGCTGAGTGTCGTCCATGGCTTGAGATGTAAATAGTTTTAAATGTACATTTGCAATTAATTATTTCAGATTTGTATTATATTTGTTAAATTGTATGTATAGCGTGGTGAGCTTAGCCCTATAGGCTGGGGTACCACGCTATATAAAACCACGTATAATAATAATAATAATAATTAGAAAGAGAATCAGGACACGACCATCTCGTCCCAATGAATGAACTGGCAGCAAGCCTACAGCTCCATTAGGCTCTAACAAGCTGTGAACACATTTATTATAGGGAATAATAAGTGTATTCGTTGCTGGCCTAATCGGGCCAGCCAGGTACGTGGAGAGAGGCAATTTGCTGTTTAGGGAACAAGCTTATAATCCTAAAGAAAAAAAAAACAACAACAACATGCCTTGTGACTTCGCCCGTCATCACATTGTAACGGAAGGAAGCCAGTAAAAAAAATAATTGTATGCCTCAACCAAGAAACATCTCCTATATTAGTATCTGACAAACATAATCATTAAATGACTAGATTGCAGTGTTTTATAGGTTTGCTTACCTTGTCTTCCGCTAGTCTGTTCGCTAAAATGTTCTTTACTTGTGGTCTACGTCACATGCTGTTCACCCCTGAAGCAGTTCGATGAGTCCAATAGGGCTGGGGCACAATTTGAATCGTATTAAAAAATCGATCCTGAAACCTAATGCAGTTACATCGATCTTTCTATCGGCTGTATTGATTATTGAAGACTGTGTTATTTTTTTTAAAAGAATTCTAAAAATAGAATCTGACGTATAAGCTTACGTTGCTTAAGACTTTATCCCAGAGTTCTTATGGGGAGCATAATACACATACACGATAATACACACACACACATCATATATATATTACTTTGGACATTTGACAACGCTATAAATATAGTTAAGAAATAGATATAGGCTCTACTGAACTCTATTCAATTTATGTTTACCATCATTCTTTAGAACTGGGGTTCTTAACCAGGGGTTCTGCAGACCCCGCTCTACTTCCTATAGCCTACCCTTTTGAACAAAGTGGCCCTTGGTATGTATACCGTAAGCTGAAATAATGATTGAACACACATCCCACCATGACGCTAGCTCTGGTTTCCAATACAATACACGTGACATGTGTGTTATTTGATGGTGCTGTTGATTGTTTTGTCGCTGCTGTTGCTGAGTTTGATGGTGCTGTTGATTGTTTTGTCGCTGCTGTTGCTGAGTTTGATGGTGCTGTTGATTGTTTTGTCGCTGCTGTTGCTGAGTTGATGGTGCTGTTGATTGTTTTGTCGCTGCTGTTGCTGAGTTTGATGGTGCTGTTGATTGTTTTGTCGCTGCTGTTGCTGAGTTTGATGGTGCTGTTGATTGTGTTGTCGCTGCTGTTGCTGAGTTTGTTGGTG